GAAACACGCTCTGTATTAGTAGCACAAATAATTGGAGTTAAGGCCCATGGGATAGAAATCATGCCTGACAATTGGATGGCCAAGACCTGAAACTGGATAGGCCACTGACCCAAAGGAAAAACCAAATACCAATGTTCTGCTAAAAGAACATACAATAGCATGGCTCCTAACTACAGTCTGCTATACCCACAGCTCAGCGCCATGCTTAGCCATCATCAGAGAAACTTCTTCTTGCAATAGATGGGAACTAATACAGAGATCCATAACTAGACAGACAAGGTGCAGACAGTGAGAGATTTCATAGTTCTCAGTCCTAAATGAGAGGTCTTCATCAAACTCCTCCCCTCCCCCAGGGAGCTATACAGATGAAGCAGGAGAATGATTGTAAGACCCAGAGGGGATGGATGACTCCAAGAAAGCAGTGTCCACTAGACAAAACAGGATGGGTGCACACATGAGCTCCCCGAGGGTGTGGCAACATGTCAGGTTCAAGGTAGATGAGATCCCTGCACTGAAAAGAGCAAGTGGACACAGGCCCCCACTCATAAGCAAGAGGTTAGATACAACATATACACAACATTTATAAATATGCTTACAAAGGAAAAATTAGTTTTTGCCAATGGTTCCTCACTGGGCATATTAACCAAGCTTCACAGTAAGCCCCATGACTAGGAACATCTTGGCAAGACAAGCTCAATGGTGTTTTTGTAGACTTCTTGTCTCATATTGCTCTTTTTTTTTTTTCAGGATATTTTTTTCGTCCTGTTGGTCTTTGGCTAGTACACTTTGTTTTCTGGTCTTGAGGTGGGAGCAGTGTTGTATGAGGTTCTGTGTTGTTGGGCTTTTTGGTATGTTTGTTTTTTAAAGAGAGAGGAAAAAAGGGTGTGGAGTTGGGTGGAGGATATGGGTGGAGAGATGGAAGAGGAGAAAATCAGCATCAGGATATACTATATAAAAATGCATTTTCAAGTAAAAGTTTCTTAATTAAAGGCAATAGTCTTCTTCACTCCCAAAACTCTTTCCCAATACACAGGGACATAGAAGAGACACCCAGCCAAGCTGGAGGAATGTTAGGTTAAAAATCAGGAGACTGGGGAAGCCTCCCGGAGGAGGTGATAAAAGAATGGAGTCACTAGACAGGTAGGTCACCAATTCTCTCAACGAGACCTGACAGAGGGTCAGCAGGAGAAGAAAGTGAAATATCCCCTACACATTTCAAACCCAAAGCTGCACCGAGCCACCAAGCTGCATGAAGATGTGACTTGATTATAGCTAAAGTACACCCATTTGTCCAGAGTCTCACTCGCCCCCAAGCTGCCCCAGATCGATAACATGCCTCTCCACAGGGCCACCAAGAGTCTGTCTAACAGGTAACCTGTGGAGGTGCACGCCTGTAATCCCAGCACCTGGGAGATGGAAGCAGAGGGTCCTCCTCAGCTACAAAATAAGTTCAAGGCCATCCTGGCTGACATGAGACCCTGTCCCAACAAAAGGGAAGGTGATTCACCACATCTATGGAAACACTCGGCTGTGCTCAGACACCCCGGCCTCCCAAGCAGAAATACTGGCAGTTCAAATGCTTCAGAGAAATGCAAATCCTCCCTTCTTATCTTCAAAGCTAAATCATTAAATTATTTTTTTAAGAAATTAAATTAGAAAATACAGTAAAGGGAAAGCTCAGGATATAAGAAGCATCATTGTCTGCATGCATGTTAATTTTTCACCTGTTCAAGCAAGGTACTAACATACAAAACGTCAGAGCTGCGGGTAAGCCCGAGTGAGTAAAAGAGCATGGGAATTCCCACACAGTGCTCAAAGTATCCTGTCATAGAACATACACGTATGCCAACTGATTGCTGTTTTAAATTTGTGTGGTGCTGAGAACTGAACCCCAGAGCTGCATACATTCTACACAAACACTTGACCATTGAGCTCCAGTCCAGTGAATGGCTGATAAAGCCAGTTTGGGAACAAGCTTCCAGTAAACATTCTAGAATCTTCCATATTCTTGGAAGTCCCCATGGCAGGGAGTCCATATAGGCAGCCCTTCCTTAAGCCAACTCCACCAGAGGGGGGTGAGATTTCCAAACTTCCACTGATCTTTCCAAGAAGCACCAATGCTCTCCCTTAGCCTCAGGTCTGAGCAATTACAGAATGATCTTGCTTTCAATATCCCCCAGCATTAGGCCAAAGCTTTTTTTTTTTTTTTTCAGGAAGCAAGTGGCTATCTTTTTTTCTATAGTAAGAGCCAGGGTTTCAAAGAGATAATGGAGCCGAACTGAAATAGCAAAGCCATTCTTGCCATTTGTTAATATTACATGGATCCTCATCTTTCAAAATGATGCAAGCTGGCTGGGCCCAATGTGGTCTCACCCTTCAGCCCACAGAGAAGGATGCAGCAGGCAGAGAACCAAGGACTGTGCAAGGTACAGATGCACCAGGCCTCCTGCTTTTTGCTTATCCTCTCCATCCGCTACAGCAATGGGACCCAAAATAAAGCTCACAGTGACCACAAATTAGGCTAAGGCAATGGACATGCACTATAACACGGCAGACAGTTCAGTGTCAAAACCACCACGATCCCATCCTTACTGCAAGAGAACAACACATATCAAGCAAGTCAAGATGCTGCCAAAGCTGGACTCTTCACAATGGCCAACAAGGGCAAGATGTCTGCAACACCACTTCTGCCTTGATGCATCCTCCCCAGCCAGTGCTCCAAGCACAGACAACAGTCTCCAGGCCCAGGAAGCCATCCACCACCTTTAAATCCTCTGGACAGCTCCTCTGATTGATGGTCAGCTGGGAAAGCCTACCTGGCTCTCTGGAACTCATAGACCTAGCCCATCATTCCTTGCTTCATTCATCAAGCATTTCTGGAGTGCCTGCTGTGTTCCAGACACTATATGGATACTGCACAGCTACGGTTCTCCTGGCAGCTGAATGAGGAAGAGGGGCTACTGGATGAAAAATAATGAATAGTTAATTAATTACAGCCTCCGGTTGTTAATAAATAGTTAATTAATTAACAAACTAATTACAGCCTGTGTGATCTGTGCCTTGAAGAAAAGGCCAGTTTCACAGAGTGGAGTAGAAAGAGAAGGCTTTTCGTAGGCTGTGATGTCTGAGGTGACTCTTGGCCATTAAGTGCAAGGACTACAGGTGGAAATGAGTGGGGAAGAGGAAACAGACAGGCAGGAAGATGTGACTGCTCGGGTTCAAGCAGTGGAACTTATTCAGCATTGCTTGGATGCTGCTGTGTGCAAGGAAAAGATCCATGCGCACCCCACCCCGAAACTGTCGGGGTGCTGGGGGGAGGGGAGAAGTGGTTCCCAGTGCCCCCCAGCGGTCCCTTAGGGCTCTGTAGCCCTGGCCCGGGGTGGGGGGATCACCAAGCCTTATGATCAGAGTCAGCCCTTGTACAGCCCAAGGAGGAATGCAGGACACCACCACCATTAAGTCCTCGGAGGGTCTGAATAAAGTCACACTCAAGCTACAGAAGTGTTGCATTCCACTTAGAAACTATCTTCAAACGCCAGATTAGTTTCTACCATTTAAAAACGATGAAAACCTAAATTCTGGAATTAAAAAAAAAAAAATCTTGCAATTGTGATCCAACACTCACACGTAATGACAACTGTCTGGATGTGGAAATGGGAGCACCCTGTGAGAGGATGTGGAAATGGGAGCACCCTGTGAGAGGGACCCAGGCAATGGGGCTAATGACCACGGTACTGAGTTTACAGTCTGGCTTTACAGCAGAGTTAATAAAGTAGGTGTCACACAAATTCAAGGCTGAAAGCCACCCATGATTAAAGGGGCCATTCAACTGGAGGTGATGAGCGAGGAGCGCAAGTGTGAGCAAAGTCTGAACGCAAACAGGGGAATGACCCAGAAATGAGGGATGAGGGAGAAATGTTTGTAACACTCCCGGCACAAGAATTCTTACTAAGCGTGTAACTTTTGAGTGCCAAGGGCTCATGATCCATACAGAGTCAAAAGTGACTTCAAATTAAAAACGTGAATGGATATTAGAGTCACCACATGGAAAATTGGCTTCGACGTCCTGAAAGCACCTCCACAGCTGATAAGGGGACTGCAGCACGCCTCCTGTGAGGGTCTCATCTGCTTTACCAGACCCAGCAGAACGAACTGTGTTTGCAAACTTTCTGAGCCAAGACCCTGACAGGTGATCTTTGTGCAGAGGTGGGAGTGGAAGCATTCTGAGACTCTCCTCCCGAGAGCGCAGTTTCTTAGCAAACTTAGCAACTGTCAGAAAACTTACACAAGCCGTTGACATCCAGCATACTGGAGATGCCCCTGTCACTCATGTCCACTTCCGGCTGGTTCTTCTCCCTGCTCTCCTCCACCAGCTTCTTCAGTGACTTGGACATGTTCTGTAGCAAAGGACAACAAAGCACGTGGGCAATGGCAAGAGTGTGTGGGAGTGGGGGCGGGGGCAGGAAGGGTAGAGGCCTGGGCTGGACTCTCCAGGGCTGCGTGAGGGAGAGTGGGCATCCCCGCGGAATCCTTACTGGGGGGACCCGGACCCCGCGCACTCACCGCTGAGGGCAACACCCGGCGGGTGTGCGTGGGAGCCCGCAGGGGAAACTCGGGTGGCAAGCGACGAGCTGGATCAACCAAAAACAGGATCCCGGAGGAGGAACACACCCTGTCCCAGCGAGCGCGCAGGCGCACACCAAATCCGGCCAACCCCACGCCCCTCCCGGCCTGACACTTCCCAAATTAGGAGAAGTGTTTCCCAGCCCTGGCTCCGGGCGAGGCTCTGCCCACAGAAGAATGTGGACCCCGAGGCCGGCCAATCATACACGTTTTAGGAACAGAGACTCCGCCCCACGCTGAGGAACACCCATCTTCCTTGGGTTTGGAACTTGCATTGGACCAAACAGGTAGGCGCGGTCTAGATCTTGCGCATGCTCAGTAGACTAACTGAAAAACAAAGCTCTGTGGGCGGAAGCAGGGAATTTTCAGAGCGGGATGCTGGAACAGAGGGAAACGTTGGGAGAACAGCTTGTGTTTAGGGATTTGGAGTTGAGACTTGGGAAATCCAGAAGTCAGTTATTCTTCGTCCCGCGCCTTTCATTGCTGATCCCCTCGCACGGAGGGTTGTTACCCTGAGTTCCTCGTGTGCCCCTGCGGCTGCCACAGACCTGGCAGAGGTATGAGGCTTGGGTTATGATCATGTTTCTAGAGGCAAGAATTCGGCCAGAAACTTGCGTCCTCGGCTGGAGGCTCACTGTATCCTCGCTATTTCCCCACTTCCGCCCCCAACAATGACCTTTTGGTCTTGAGCAACTGGGTTAGATGCTAACAGCAAACTTCATGTCAGAGTTAACAGAGTTAACGGTTACACGCGTGCACAGTGAGATCGTGATAGATAGATGATAGATAGATGAGAGAGAAAGAGAGAGAGAGATGAACAGACTGATTTCTGGCAAACCCAATGACTCGATCTTGATGGCCCCAGCAATAGCTTGCCTCTCATTCAAAAATCTATTCTTGCTGGCAGTTTCACACTATGAAACAGGGACTGATAGCAGAATTATTCTCCTGATGTTAGGTACATGACAGACAGACAGGTGAGTTTAGAGACACATATAAGCAGTGAGCCAGTGGGGTGATCGAAGAGAGTTCTGCCCTTTGAATTCGAAAGCAGAAATTTCTCCTAGAAGCATACCTCAGATGAAAAGATGGCACTTGTGCTGGCGACCTGAAGTGCCATGGCTCTTCAGGTCTTAGGTAGACTTTTGTTGAGAGCACCGAGCAGATAGTTCAGAGACCCCTGCTGCCTATGGGCTTGTGAGATGTTTCGCTGTATTCGGACAGAAATTAGGAATTTTGGGGAAATACTACTAAAATTCCATCTTCCCCAGTGCAGCCTGTTGATGTAGATGGTTGACTGGGTAATATGGAGTCTGTCCGCTTTCTCCACGTAAGGTTGCGACTTTTCCCTTCACATTTTAAAGGCCACCAGGCAGCATAGTGTGGAATTATGTAAGTCAGCCTCCCTTTACCTTCAAGTTAACACCCATTTATGATTTTCCAGCTTTATCGTTTCATGGTTGTTCACCGGGCGCCATTCTATTATCTATCTATTTCTTGATTCATCGATATTTTTGTAAATATTTTATTTTTTTTATTCTTCTCTCACACAATCCATTCTGACTGCAGCCTCCCCTCCTACCAGCCTCTCCTTGCCTCTCCTCGCCTCTCCTTGCCTCTCCTCCAGATCCACTGCTCCTCCATTTCTCTTCAGAAAAGAGCAGGTTTCCCAGTGGTATCAAGTGAGCATGGCATAACAAGATGCAATAAGACTCGGCACGAACCTTCATATCAAGGCTGGACAAGGCAACCCAGTAGGGGGAAAGGGGTCTCCCAAGCAGGCAAGAGTCCGAGACATCCCCACTCCCATTGTTAGGGCTCCAACAAAAACCCGAAGCTAAACAACCACAGCATGGATGGAGAGGCCTAGCACAGACTCACACAAGCCCTGTGATTGTTGCTTCAGCCTCTGTAAGTCCCTCTGAGCCCAGCACATTAATATTTTAATGCTTTCGAAAAGTCACTGCTATTTCTTCCTCCAGCCCTCTCCGAGGGTGATAGTTTCACTGTATAAGCTGATAGCATCTGTACCCTTGTGAATCCTTGAGTGCTGGTATAACAAAGCGCCATAGACTGAGCGGTTTAAACAACACAAACTTACCTTCCCACAGTTGTGAAGGCTGAAAGCACAAAGCCAGACGCAGGAAGATTTGGTTTCTTCTGCAGACTACTGCTTCTCTCGGTACCCTCTCACTGCTCTCCCGCCCCTCCCCCCAGGGGAGTGCATCCTCAACACAGCTTAGGAGCACAACAGGTCTGCAGGATCGGGACCTTCCCCTTCTTTCTCAAATACATGTGAGATCTCACAGACATCCCTTAACAGATGTCTCACAGATATCTTCTTCACAGCTTTGAAGATAATACTTTTAACCTTCCCTCCTTTGACTAACTGGGTTTGTTTGAAAGGTCTCTTCTTTTTCCTGCAGGTGAGAGTCTTTCTGGTAATTGGTCTTAGTTGGCATTTCATGTTCAAGCCTAAGGATCTGAGCTGATTTTTCTAGATGATTTGTGTGGCTGCCTGGTCCTCTCTCACTGCTTTCTTTGTGTGTGTTTGTTTCCGTCTACGTCTGCATTCATTTTCCCCGGGTCATTTCTTAAATGTCTTTAGAGGCAAGAGCACAGTTTTGTGCAGAAAGTCATCCCCAGGCTGCCTTTGCTGGTGCAGGGGAATGGCAGTTATGAGTGTCAAGGGTTCCACTTCCTGCCTTGCTTTCTCTGCTATACCTGCCAGCAGACAACTCCTGGGCCAGCAATTCCCATTCCTCTTGTGCTTCTCTCTTGAAATTATCTGGGGAAACAATTCCCTTTATTTGTCAATACATTTCCATTCACTTCCTCAGTTTTCTAGAAATTTGTTTTGACTCTTGAGAGAAGAAAAAAATAAACTGCCTTTTGCTGTTCTTACAACATTCACCACATTGTACTTCCAAAACTTAATGGAGGGAGCCATTCCCATGTCCCAAATGATTCTCCAGCAGACATCTGCTGTGTCCTGCAATTTATTTGAATTCTGACACTGTACAACTGCAGTTAACATTAGATCAGATCTGACAAATAGTGGTGGCTGGCGGGGGAGGGGGGGGGAATGGGAGGGGGAGGGGCTTAGTGCATCCACTAGACTTCTCCATTCCAGGTGCCAAAACAGATAGATAGATAGATAGATAGATAGATAGATAGATAGATAGATAGATAGACAGATTGATCGATAGAGCTTTAAAATTTTCCAAATGGGTCTATGGCTATATCAACAATAATATTTAATAAGTCATACCTAGTCCTTTGGGCCGGATATGAGACTCTCTCTCCCATGGTTATATGGATTATAATCACAACCCTGTCACGGTGAGTCCATATCTGTTTTCTATAACTCATGTTTCTCGTCTCTCAAGTGGGAGTGATGGCTCTGACTGTTCCAGGGAGTTATTCCTGTCCTGTGGGGAGTGTTTGTGCCTGGCACAGCACAAGGACTGCACTAAACTTCTCTCCCTGGAGCTCTGTGGAAGAATTTTGAAGACAATTTTTCTTGTTAGCTGGAGTTTAAACGAAATAGGAAGTTATGAGTAGTAAAACCTGCATCTATGACCTTTCCTGATCTCAGACTGTCATTAACCTATATTTCCCTTGGGGTGTTTGTCACAAGAATGCCTAAAGTCACAACAGGTTCCGCTGGGTCTGCTTTAGTCGGGGTTTCTATTGATGTGGTAAGTACCATAACTGAAAGCAAACTTGGGGAGGAAAGAGTTTATTTCATCTTACAATTCCTATAATTCTCGGTGACTCTTCAGCAGTGAGGGAGATTAAGGCAAAAAGCTGGAGGCAGGAGAGCATGGAGGGAAAGCTGCTTCCTGGCTGGCTCCCTGTGGCTCGCTTAGCCTGCTTTCCTACATCATCCAGCCACCTGCCCAGGGTGCATCACTCACAGCCCTCTGAGACCCTACGTCAATCATACTCAAGGGACCTCCAGGCAGCCCTCTGGCAGTGTTTCCTCAATTGAGGCTCCTCTTCTCAGATAACTCTAGCTTGTCAGGTACACACACACCACACACACTCACACACTCACACACACACACACACACACACACACACACAATCAACCAGGATAGTGTCTTAAGAGAGTCTTTGGGTCTTAGGAAAGGGATTCCCAGATAGTCCCTAAAGGCCAAATGTAGCCCCTCTGGCCAGACAGTGCACTTAATCTTGAATATTAAAAGCAAGCTCAAGTCTAGTTGATTGGGGCATAGGAGAGGGAGAGAGGTCAGAGGGCAGTGGAAGACCAGTTCCCTCCAATCCCACCCCTGACCCAGACTATAAGGGAATAGGTTGGATCCCAGAGGGCCAGAAAGCTGCCCCTGATTCTGCATTAAGCTGCTTATTGCTGGACCATGAGGAGGCAGCAAGAGGAAGTGGTGCTCATGCAAGAGATTGTGTTTTCTGACCAGCTTCATCTCAGATAGGATGCTGTAAGTTCCCATTTTTGCCTCAAGTAAGTGGCTTGTTTATGGCTTTGGGTTTGTCTCAGTTCTGCATAAGCAGACACTTGCTTTTATCTACATTTTATTTTATTTTTTGAATGACATTTGTACTTCCTTTGAGTTCCTTCAGAGTCATATAGAGTACAACTTTCCATTAACTCCAAATAAGGCTGCCTGCCTCTTCACCTTGTGCCCATTCACTTTACATTATGACATTATGGGCTTCCATTTGGGGGCCTGGAAGGAGTGTGTGTATGTGTGTGTGTGAGTGTGTGTGTGTGTGTGTGTGTGTGTGTGTGTGTGTGTATCAACTAATATTTTCAATTAATATCAACTAATTATTTGCCTGCCAGTGTTTTGATGGCAATAATGCTTTAGGGTAAGCACTTTGGGAACGAGAAGAAAAAAAAAAAAAAAAACAAACATGCCATTTGCTCTGAGGAGTTGATGTAATATAACTTTCACCAGATAAGAATATGGAGGCTGATTGTGGCAGTACACTCCTGAAATCCAGCACACAAAGGCAGAGGCTGGAAGATTTTAGTTTGAGGATATAGGACAAGTTGAAGTCAACACTGTCTACATATAAAGACCCTGTGGGAAAAAGAATGTGGAAAGAAATGAGAAAAAATAAGTTAAGAGGGGAGAGCAGAAAAGATTAGGAAAAGGGGATGAGGGAAGACAAAAGAAAGAATGAGGGAGGAGAGGATGGGGAAGGGAGGGGAGGGGAGCTGTGTTTTGATTCACTCAAGAACCCAGGCAAGGTGGAACTGGGAAGTTTGCAATGTGAAGTAGGGAGACATCAGCTGATGGAGGCCTGTCTTCATTTTCTCCTCAGTGTGTTTAGTTCATGACAACTGATAGACATTCAATAAACATTTATAAATGAGTGAATTATAAAGTGGAACCAGTCAACTGAGATGGGGCTTCCCTGGGAGAGACAGCTTTATCTCAGTTGGTTTCCACAGAACAATGGTATCTGTGAGAGCTCTTTCCACTCAGAAGGACTCACACTTTTCTAAGATGCATGCTAGTATGTCCAGGAAGTGTGACTATAGAATTGAAGAAAGCGTATTGGATATTGTCATGTAAAGTTGAAAACTTAAATTTTTTTAAAAAAAGAAGCAAGGCTGTACAACATTTCCAAGGTAGCAATCCAGACCTGAGAGGACCCTTTTAGGTGCAGAGGCAGTAGCCACCCTGAAGACATAAACTCTGTGTGCACAGCAAAAGGAAAATGGACTCTGAGTTTTCAAGGAGTTCTTCTCCACGAAGAAGACGGTGGTTGTGCTTTGTTGTCTTTGTGCGGATGAATGCGGGATCTTGCTCTGACTCCCTAAATGCATTGCAAAGGTAAAGAATGGGAGAGAGACTTCTGATATGAACGACATGAGAATGTCCTAACAGCCACAGCAATAGGATGCATTATCAAACATGAATCACTTTCAAATTCTGGTGGTCTTGCAATTGGTCCCTTGTTCCAGCTTGTCGAGAGCCTTTGGATCTACCATATTATTCATAAACTGGAGATACATGCATAGCTAATGGAAGAAGGGCTGTGTAAGGTGAGAGTACTCCATTGATACAGCTATATATTCTATACAGTAAGATGAAGCAACGCCCTCTCAGTCAGTGCCAGTCTTAAAGGCTTCGCTTTGCCTAGATAACATGTAGTAAGTTTCTTTCTGTGAAGTTGTCTGATCTTCTGGGGGCCACGGGGAACTCTGGGAAGCACTGGGTTTTCTTGTGAAAAGGAAGTAGTAAGCACCTCCCTTAGCTGCCCTTCTGGAAAAGTAGGAGGGAGCACCATGCTATGGGATATTCCCATCCTCAACAAAGCTGCAAAGCTAGGACGCCTGAGGTGATGGTTTCTTTCAAGGCCACACACCCAAGGCAAATACATACACAGCTTCAAGACACCTCTGATTTAGAAACGTTATCTCCACTACTCAGAGACAATATAAGCTGGCATACACAAGCTTTTGTTCTGTGGGTCTGTGCATTTTTCCATACTTGATAATAAATAGAATTGTCTACAGTAAATATCCGTGGCTTAATTTGAATAGAAATATATAGAATGTGGTTGAGATTTAGAGCTTGGTCCTTCTTAGAGCATCATTTCTTTGAGATTTTGCTTTTATGAACAACTTTTAAAAAGAAACATCAAACTTTTACAACCAAATATTCGTTGATTTCTTGTCTGCTAGTAGTTTGAAGCAGGCGTGCAGGGTAACGGAAAGTTAACTAAGTTAACCTAAGATGCACATGTACTAAGAACTGACGGCCTGTATTAGTTGCAGGTGGCACTGTGGGGCTAGAAGTAGCACAGATGTCTCTACGGTAGTAATTGCGATGTGAGCAGCACAGTATGGAAGTCAGCGGGGCTCCAGCAGTGTGCAAAAAGGGTATGCAAAGCTAAAGAGCCAAACAATCACTGCGCAATGCAGGGTAGGGCTGGTTTTTCTGAAAACTTAATGTTTGAGTCTGCCATGCCTCCACAGGCCCTTGGGTTTGAACAGTTAGTTGATGCTCAGCTGGTGTCGCTGTTTGGGGAGGCTGCAGAACCTTTGGTCCCCAGTTGGTGGATGGTCCGGGGAGGCCATAGAACTTTGGGCTGGAGGAACCAGAGCACTAGGGCTTAATCTAAGAGCTCTGCTTCCTAGTTTCTCTGCCAAATTTGCGGTTCTGTGCAAGCTCCCACTACATGGTCCGCCATGCCTTTTTCAGTGTGATGAGGGAAAACCCTCTAAAATGGTGAGCAAAATAAACCTTTTCCTTCAACAGACATGGGAAGGAAGGAAGAAGAAGCATCCTTGGTGTACAGGGGTCTGGCTGTGACAAACACCCAACAGATGCAGCATAAATGAGAAAAGTTACAAGGACATTCTAGGACTGTGGAGCATGAATAAAGGTAAGTAGAGGGCGTGCCGAGATTTGACGGCTGGGATGGCACAGAGTCCTGGGAACCATCAGAGGGGAGACTCAGTGGCCAGGACCAGAAGCTGGAGAGCTTGGGATGGAGAACAATTTCAGAGGTCACAGTAAATTCTTCTCCCTCAAGCTCAGTAAAACACCAAATTGCAGTGGGTTTAAAAATGAAGACAACAGAACTGTACATGGTTTTCAGTAATGTTTATTACCCCTCCTTTGACTTTTGTTGTAGAAACAATACACCTATTTATATCCCTGACTTTTAACAATGTACATCAATATGCCAGGAAAACCCTTTAAGGAACTTTTTAAAAAAGGTCAGCCAAGTGGTATGTCCAGTAAGAATGGTATGTGCCGCTGAGGTGAACAAAGCCAGGCTCTGTCTTCAGAACACTGAATGTACAAAATTGGTCCCACACTGTCTCTGATAAGGGCGCAGAAGTTCAGGCCATGTTTGATGGCGCAGGGGATGGGATGAGAAAGGCACAGTTCTGGGCAGGGCCACACGGCTGATTCAGGTCTCCCAATGTATCTCAAATCCCGAAATAGTTGTCGTATACTCAGCATGAAATCTTACGAAGACCTGACTTGATGAGGCCCTAAAAGGGGCTATGTTGATGTCCTGAGGGGAGGAAGAAAAGCAAGGTTATTTTTTTAATTGAACATATTTCTAGACATATCAGCCTACTTGAAGGATTACCTGTAAAACTCTGGTGTGGTTCTAACAAGTTCCAATGGTGAGCCAATGTACATTTCTAGTAGTAACTGGCCAACAGGTAATACCTTAACTAATACAGAAGAGTGCTTCTCGGGGCAGGAGGCTGAGAGGTAGCGGGTGAGGAGGTGATGATAAACTCTCGGTGCTCCTCACTCCCTAGACATCTGACCTGAGTGTGAACAATTGTGTGCATCCTTACTGCAACAGAAAGTGCAAGCAGTTCCTCACACAGCAGCCACTGCCTCACACAGCGTGTGTGACCCAATGTTTTGTGTTAGTGTTTTACTTGTTTTTCCTTTTATTCCTATGTTTTGTATTATGGATTAACACTGTGAAATGTTAAATGAATTGCTGATGCCTTTCATTTAATAAAATAAGTGATAAAATAATTACACATGGGAGGGAGTGTATTTTGAAAGCATCACAGTATCCAGTTACAGGCTTGGATTTAGGGACACTTGGCTACATGGGGGAGTCATCTGCCTCCTGGAACCTCAGACCTCCTTCATCTGCAAAGCCCAGAGTGAGCTGTTCTCCCTACAGCGCAGGCTGTGGAATCAAATGGAGCTGGCTGCTTGGAAGGAGCCAGCTACACACAGGAGCCGTACAAAGGTACCAGGAAGTTATCTCTTTTATCCCGCGTGTAACAGCGACAGGGTGCCTACTGGTCCCAAGATCAAATTCTCCCCCTAAGTAACCAACTCCCTGTGGGAAGTGCGCTGATGTAGTTAGCCAAATGTTTCCTGCCGTGTCCGTCCTCACTGATTACAGCACTGTAATCGTGAGCAGATGAGAACTCACTTTCCTTTGTTTAGTAATTCGTGCTGTGCAAAGGCACATGGAAAATGATACATCAAAAGGTTCCTAAAGCAGTGTGGTAAGATGTTAATGGCAGATTGGCAAGTGACAAACAGTATAAAATATGTATAGATGTGTATATACTCAAAGAAAAGTACTAGCAAGAAGATAGAACTCTCAAGCTTTTAAATTTTTGACGTACTTTCTAATATTTCTAAAAAATAAAATTTTACAACACATTTAAAAATCGGTCAAGTGATAGAACTCTTGTCCTAATTCAAAGGTCCCTGTGAATAGAGAGGTAAGGGCTGATTGTTTCAGTGGTGACTGTAATATACCATATCCACCACTAGATGTCACGCATGCTCCCAAAACCACTGAATTGCAACTTTTTCTTTGCATGTGCCTATAGTTACCTTCATTGTTTAAAAATCATATATGAAAATCTAATACTATTTGTTTTACTCACTATTCCGCAGAATGGTCCATAGGGTGGCGAGCGGTCGTCTGGACCATTATAGAGTATGAGGTAGTTGTGGTCACAGCCGCCTGGAGGGTCGATGCTGACAAAGAGAAACCCGAGGCTAAGAGGCCTTCCAGAAGGAGCAATGATGGTCCATTCACAATGTGTGTTGTTTGGGTAGGCCTGAGGATAGTCAGGGCTGCTGAATATACCGTGGTCACCCATAAGAGTCCCTCCACAGCCTAAAGGAGAGAACGGGAAGAGGTACCATTTAGCAAAATAGACACCCTCCAGCCTGCTTTCCTGCACATGCAGGCGACAGACAGGACAGCTTTTATCTTCCTAAGGGGGCAGAGACTCTCTGAGAGTAGCCAGCGCAGAGCCTGCTCTTGATTCAAAGCCCTCCAGGCCCATTTCCACTGGATATTGCTTTCCCCAAGGCTTGTAACCTGAGGCGACTTCCACCAGGATGGTTCTTTGCTAGCCTCAGGCTGGGAACAAACTGGAAAACAGCACAATAGTTGCCCAGAGAGAAAAGCCTCTATCTGTATGCTTTGAGCACATGCCAGGCAGAGTAGATAACAATGACAGCCAAAGTCAACTCAAGTTCTGTGGCAAGCCCAGACTGATAAGACAGCTTAGATGCTACAGTAAAACTAACTCTATCAAGAGAAGACCTATGCAACTCCTAGATCTAGTGATGACTTTACCAGGGTCTGCTATGTAAGCCAGGGACAGGGTGCCTATGGATCCCAAGGTCAAAATCTCTCTCCACGTAACGAACTTCCTGTGTAAAGATATAGTTAGCCAACCGTTTCCTGGAGCTGTGGCAGTGAAAAGTATGTTTCAAGTCAAAGATCTTTAGATATTTATTTGGTTTGTTCACTTAGGTGCCAAGGCTGCCATTAGACTAGACATCCAAGGGGATCTAGAAGAAGCAGCCCAGGGTAACTGGTTGCGCAACAAGATCTTCACACGTTACTTCCTGTTGATTGCTTTTGTTAACCTTTTGTTCTTCCTCTCTTTTAATTTTTATTTTGTTCAAGGTCACGTCTTATTATATAGGTTATGGTGGCCTCAAAAATTATGGCCGCACCATGTCAGCCCCTCAAGTGAAGGACTGCTGCCTCCAGGGCTGGGGCAGTCCTTCCGTCCTCCGTTTGTCTCCTTTAATCAGGGCAGTTATTCCTGAGTCTCCTTTGGGTGCCATGGTCGTGTTCTCTCTGATTGCTGAATGGAACCCTCTCTTATGCCCTGCAAAGTGAGTGGTTCTGAAAGCGAGTGGTTCCATACATGTTCTCACTGCATGGTCCGCCATGCCTTTTTCAGTGTGATGGAAAAAAACCTCTGAAACGGTGAGCAAAATAAACCTTTTCCTTCAACAGACATGGGAAGGAAGAAAGAAGCAGCATCCTTGGTGTACAGGGGTCTGGCTGTGACAAACACCCAACAGATGCAGCATAAATGAGAAAAGTTACAGGGACATTCTAGGACTGTGGAGCATGAATAAAGGTGAGTGGAGGGCGTGGCAAGATTAGACTGTAGGTTTTCAGATATTGTCTACCTTTCACAAAGGTGCCCCTCCTTTCTTGAGCTAAATGTGTTCACATGACTTGTATATCCTCCTAGTTCATAAATGGTCAACCAACAATTCAGGATGATATTTATCACCCCAAAGAAGGAATTGTGACACCGGACTAGCACCACAGGACAGGAACCCCGAGGCCCAGCTGCTCATATATACATCATGTGGCATCATCAGACGTGCCGACATGCACACAGTTGGCTGCTCATCTGTGCAGTCAGCTACTCATTGTGTACGCACACAGATGTGTTCCTGATTTGGCCTTTTCACACTTTCATTCACTAAATTCTCAAAGAGAATCCCTTGGTGATCAAGCCAGAAGAACAAGAGAAAGTGTATATGGGAATGTTTACATTCTCAGGCCTTCTATATGTAATATGCAGTCTTTTATAACACAGAAATGATAAATAATCGTAGGATTTTGAAAAATCAGTACTTTCATTGTTTAAAAATCCGCATTTTAACAGAAAATCAGCAGGTGTGTATCTTACCGGATGGAGAGGAGGTCCAGACAATGTCATACCCGGGGAAGGTGTTTGCATCATCGCTATGAAACCACAGGTACAGTTCATTGCTTCGAGAGAAGATAGGGGCTGGCAGTACCGTTCCACAGCTCCTGTCAAGCACCTGTGAGCTGCCGCTGCTGCCATTTCTTATCTGTTGAAACCCACCAACAGTTACTACATCCATTTTATTCTTGCTTCAATTTACCATCAACACAGGAACAAATGCAGTAAGTGTTTTTTTGTTTTGGTTTTGTTTTGTTTGTTTGTTTGTTTGTTTGTTTTTTGAGACAGTATCTCCTCCTTGGCTCAGGCTAGCCTCAAACTCTCATTCTTCCTGTCATGCTCCAGAATACTGGAATGAGGCTTTACATACTTAAGATTGAAGGATTTCCATAAACACAGGGGAGGTCACCTTCGTTTGTAAATGAAGAAATGTTAGAATTTATATCACACACCGTTTGTATTTGGATTTAGAAATACTGGTTAGGTTAAACTATAGCCACAGAAACACCTGCATTCTTGTGACATGCTAGCTGGTGCCATGGTCCTACAAACTGTTACCTGTGCAGACATTTTAAGGACTCTAACATGAGTTTTACAGGGGAAAGGGCATGGCTCCCTGGCCTGTTTCTAGTCATTATACTTTATTCCTGGTAGCTCAGTGGGTGGTGGGACGTTTCCCACTGAAAAGCAGGAAGTGGCTGCCATGAACAAAGTACACCAAAGCTCAGTAACAGGTCTCTTCCACATGGGAAAAGGAAATAGTCCCATGCACCTAAAATATTTCTGATCGTGTTGAGTTTCTTTTTTCTCAGCCTGGGAGGACAAGCAGGCAATGAGTTGGTGTGGAGGAGGGGATAAGCACCCGTGAGTCCACGTTTAGCCCAACTTCCTGCTTCCCACTGTGTGTTCTCAGGGCACTGGAGAGGCTTCCTTCCTGAATGGTTCCAGGCAGTGCCATTCAGTGGGTAGGCTGTGAGTGGAAGAGCTGGTGTTAGCATGTATGTGTTCAGCCTGAGAAGCCACCCACCGCCCCGTCCTTTATGATCCCACAATCCTGAACATGGCTAGCCTCCATTAGCACAAGTCACCAGGCCTCTGCAGAGCAGACTTACTTGGGAGTCTGAGCTGGTGGGGAGAGGCAGTGGCTCCCTCTACACCTAGGCAACAGTGAGTGTTTGTTCTTGGTTCTTCCCTTAAATGTTTAATCAAAACGGCTCTGGCTAGGACAGACTGGTCATTTTCTCCCAGCTCATGAGAGAGATAGCTGCCACATTTAAGAATGCTAGAAAGCCCGACCTGCCATATACTTGACTTTGAGTTTCTCTCCATTGGGATCCTCTTTTAATCACTGCTGGAGAGGAGGAGAGACATACTGCTGAGAACTTGACTCATTCACTTTTCCAAGGATGATGGGTTAACTCAGTGCAGAGGCCTAGCTGGGAAGTTAGAGGAGCTGGAGGCACATTCACAGTACGATTCAGAGACAGTCCTCTCTGCTAGCAATACACCAGAGCCCTCATGGAAGACTTCTGTTCCCACCACAGTCCACTGAACAGAATCTAGGGCTTCCCGCACACTCCTCCTCTGATAAAGGCACATTTGGGGGCCTGTGTGGTAGCTTCCTGTCTCTGCTAATGTAACAGGAAGTTCCTCAGTGATTCTCTGGAGTGGAGGAGAATGTCTGGGTTGCCTAGTTCCAATGCTAAAAGGCAAGTCTCCACTTTCCAGCATCCAGATGACAAATGGCCAAGGATTAGGTATGAATTAAGACTATGAGTCAGAGTTAACAAGGGACCCTACCCCTTTTCCATGTCAGTCTCATCTTGGTTTTGCTTAGCAGTTCATATAAACATTTGATTTTCAGGATGGGTGAGCATGAAAAGTCCAAGGCTAACTTCCTGACTAGCACAAATAGTGTAGCTTCTGAGCCGCCATTTCTTCCCTTCTCATCTCCTGCCGTGAGAATATTCCATGAGGAAGACATAAGCTTTCCTTTCAATTCACTATGTGTTAAGAATACTGATTAACAAAATATTTGGTTTAATTCCATATGGGAGCTTCCCTACGTAATAAGGTCTGAGGAAACCAGTGGGCGGGTCAGGAGCTCTTAACACCGGTGCAGGGACCACCTACTACAACACCATTCTCCCCACGCTGAGGACCTCACACAGGGTGGGTGGGAAGGTGGCATAAAGACAAGGCAGTGGAGGTGGGCTGCTGGCCAGAAAGGCAGGAAATCTGTTAGCATTACGAAGCCGCAGGGGAAAAAAAAAATAAAAGAGTGACAAAACAGAAACATCAGAAGAAAAGGGGAGCATGAACCTGGAAGCTGTTTATCCTGCAACGATCAGACAGTTCTGAAGAGCATATTTGGAATACAAAGCTAACCAAACACAAAAATGTTAACTGCCCTGATTTGGCTGCTATGAATTGTATATGTGCTTGGAGTAACATACTGTACTCCAGCTTATGCATAGTTAAAATACTGATTAGGCTTTTCAGGACCTGATCACAGAGACCTAAGAAAAGGAATAAAACTCTGAGCTGGGTATGGGAGCTGCAGCCACCTTCTGGAGCCTGTCCAGTTTAGCCACAAGCCCTTCCAGAGAGCCGGAAGTTGTGGATTCAGTGTTAGCAGAACACAGGTACTGTACCCATTTGATGCCCTTGGGAACCAGTGCGGAAAAACCTGTACATGCAATCAGTGTTATCAGCACCTTGCCCTTGGCATTACCACTCATCCTGGAACTCATATCTAAGTTCCTTGAAAAAGCCTTCTCTGTTCCTTCCTGGGTGGTGACGTCGCCACTGTGACACTGTTGGCCACCCATCCTGTACTTCCAATGCTATAACTAGGATATACTCAGTACGCATTTACAGAATGAAAGAATAACGACCAACTCAATAACATGAAGAGAGACGCTGGATTAACATAAACTAGAAAAAATTCTTAGTGGTCCATCATGTTTTCGCATAATCATTTAAATATTCAAATATATATTACCTCCAAGAAATCACGTGTGCAGTGTAATGAATCTTCCAGATGAAACCAATAGACAAAGAGGGAAATGCTGTGGTTCTGCGGGGCTCTGAGAATAATGGTGCAGTTCAGGTTATTATCATAATTTTGAGGCCACCCAGGACTCTGCAGATTACCAAATGGTTGGTTGTATTCTCTGTTGCAATCTTTGAGAAAAAAAAATATTCATAGTTAATGTGCACATCAAAATATCTTTTATCTTGGTAACAACAGTGTTTAAAGTCCACTGAATCTGAGCAAAGTTCAGATAAAGCTCCAGCCTCTCGGCTTCTGTTTGAGAAAACGGGTCCTGAGAGACAGTGGGAACTGCGCGTGCTCAGCTCTTCTCCTTCTGAGTAGAGCCTCCACGTGGGAAGTGTGAATGCGAGCACCCTTTGAAGAACACTCCAGCACCTTTTGAGCTCCTCTGCTTACATGGGGGAAGAGCCAGTGGCTGACATTTGGACCTTTTCTGGACCCAAAGGCTCACCCTCCCAGACATCATCTGCACAAGGGAGTCCTCTGGTGAATTGTTAGTTCTGATACAATTCACGTGTTTCTTTTAACCCTTTTCTTTTTTGGTAAATTAATTAACTAATTAATTAATTAAATAGATAAATAAATAAAACAGAATTAACTGTGTCTTTGAATCAACTTCTGCTTTAGTTTTAATCAATTTCAAAACAGTCCTTATGTGAAGGTATTCCCTGGAAACACTTCCCAGTCACTGAAATCAAGTCATTCTTCAAGGCACCATGGATTTTCACAAAACAATTTCCTGAGGTAGAGCGAGTCCCTCCATGGTCAACACATCAAAAATCACTGAACTGTGAACTGTTTGCAAGCAGAGTGTGAGTCAGGAAGACGGTGTGATAAAGCTTAGTTTTCAACTGGCTAAATTAGGCCTGAGTTCCAGTTGAACCTTACAGGTGTATTTTATCAGAACAAAACCTAATCTATTCACAGGGGCCACTATCATCAAAGCTGCTTTCCCCAATAAATGAAGGTTTGGGGCTCACCTGCAATCTGATAGGTGAAATGTACTTGGGAGTTTGCGTTTAAAACGTGAGATTTGAAAATGACAACTGCAGTACTTGTTGAAGAATAGAACACTGGCAAGGTTGTAAAGTTTGCGCCACAGAACTGAGTCACTGGGTTTCCGCTACCCTGAAATGAAACAGAAGCCACATTGCATGAGATTTGGTTTCAGATGGCTACAGCCACACCAGAGAGTCAACTGTATTTAACATGTGACATCAGTATCCAGCCATGAAAAGCAGTTCTGGTCTCAAGTGCCCTGCCACACAGCTTTAGCCTTGGAACTGACCAGAGTCCCACCTTCCTAGGAGGCTGGGACGTAAACAGAGGCTTCTCTAAGGACAAGACTGCCCTTAGAGAAGCCACATCACAGTGGAAGGAAGTGTGTTCTGGTTGGGAGCTGAGCCAGGCTGTGTGAGCTTTCTGCAGGTCCCAACTCCAGCTGTGAGCTCTAGCTTGCATATCTTTGACCCTCCACACCGAGTCAGGCTAGACTTGCTCCAGCAAGTTAGGGGCATGGGAGAAACAATGAGCTCCAGCTTTATAATGAGGAGGGTCTTGAAAACTCAGAAGGTAACAGGTAGAGCCCTGTTACTGCCAGGCCTTGGCCATTTGAATATGGCCTTCTGAGAGTGAGTGGGTTAGCTGTTCCCCCTGCTGCATGGGCCAGTCCATGAGCCCTGAATTTAAATGTGTTCTCTGGCCACCTTATCACATTCCTCACCCCACCTCTCTACTGAGATGTCCGAGCTCAAACCTCTGGGACTACCACAGGCCAGCTGTCTCATCGTCTTTTCCCTCGGGGAATTAAGACTCAGCTGTTTTTTTTTCTTCGAGCCTAGGCGGCTTGTTTTCCCTTTTAATTCTCTCACTTGCTGTAGGTGTACCCCCACTAGACTGGCCCCAAACAGCCTCTTAGCTGGTTTTCTTGTGTGCTGTATGGGTCCCTTCGGTTCACCCTGCTGGCCACAGATGTAGTTCTCCCCATGTGACCCATGGGCCTCTGGGAGTGGTGGCAGAACACAGGAGATGCTCATCACACGTTGATTGATGTATGTTATGCAGATGGACCTGTGTCTGAAGGGGGCCCTAGGAATGTGCATTTTCAACAGGCCACCCAGATGATTCCTATACACAGGGCAGTTTCAAAGCATCTTTCCCACAAGACTGAGTTTAAGTTGCTTAGTGTGCCAGAAAGGAGGGCTTTGTCTCCTGCTGAGAGACCCAATTCTCGAGGTAAAGGGCCTCTTTATTCAGGCATAGCTTCTCTTGCAGTGTTTGCAGATGTGGGGGCCATCGCCCTGGGATCTTTACCTGTGGTGAGTCCTGAAGCTCTAGGTAGCTCTCGGAGCAGTCTTGTGAGGGCAGCCGTAATTCCGACACAATTATCTGGATCAGTTTTTGTGGAGGAGCTTCAATGACCCAAGTACAGGTGGAATATGGACGTCTGATGTTTGACAAACGAGGGGATGAAGCGTTTTGTGGTGCAAAAGTTGCATTATGCGTTCCCCCACAAGGCACTGCAGAAGGGAGAAAGAAAAAGAAATGCAGGCACTGTTTTAATTGTGTTTAATTATATATAGTATCTTTAAAATCTTACTGTACTATCTCTGACTCTGTTGCCTGCCTTTGCATCCCTTTCGCCTAGCTGGGCTGCCTTGTCTGGTCTCAGATGAAGAAGACACACTTATTCCTGCTGTGACCTGAGGTGCCAGGATGGGTTGATACCCTTTAGGGGCCTCCCCTTCTCTGAGAAGAAGGAGGGGATAGAGTGGAGGGGGGTGTGAGGGTGAGACTGGGAGAAGTGGAGGGAGGGGGCTGGATCGGGCTGATTACATAAACCAAATTGTAAAAATTGAAAAAAAAAATCTGGCCCTAGTCTGGCCCACAGGAAATATTTTAATATTCTTTTAAGGGGTTGAGTGTATGTCCTGGAAATAGAGGGCGAACCCAGCTTCTCACAAGCTTGAGTCAGGAGGCCAAAGTTCAAGGCTAGCCTGGCAGCTTATAGACTTTGTCTAAGAAAGGTAAACTGAGGGCAGGGAAAATAGCTCATATGTGTTTAAGAATTCACTGAAACAGTAATTGACTTAGATATAGCAAGCATGCATTCTGTGAGTGCATAAGAACACATGTATTTCATAATATGTCAAAATACTTACTGTCGACAAAGGTATATGTTGCATTAAATCCTTCTTTTTCAAACGTTAAGTCGGAGACAAAGTGAACCGTAAGAAAGTTGCCAGAAGAGATAAAAGGGGCAGGTATTCGGGTACCACAAAATATTCCACCTGAATTTGAAGTTATGCTTGCACCATCAAATATCTGTGGAAAAACGATAGTTTTTAGTAGTTTATTATCGATAGAGAGTGTGCTGTTTTGTACTAAATTGGCTGTGAGGTCATCACAGATCATTATCTTTGTATTGGTGTTCTTACAGGCAGTCTTAATTTAGATTGGTGGCACTATAATGGCTTTCAGTAAAAATCCAATATTATGCCCAACATATACTTTCTCTTAGGAAAAGTAATATGTAATTTAAAAAAGAAAAGCCTTGGAGTCATCAAACCCATTGCTAGTATCTCTGCTGTCCAAATTATCATCAGGGGCTTCTTCTAAAGCTTCCTGGTTAGGCTTTTATCTCTCATCTTGACTCTCCAGATGTCACCCAGAGGTTACTGTTAAGATGTTGGACCAGGAGTTGCCTAACTGCTTTCTACCCTTTTCATACAAAGGCCACCCCCATAACAACAGCTTTCAAGGCCTAATGGAATGGCTTCTCCCCGCTCAGGCCTCATGTGTCTCCTTTCTGGCTGTCTCTGCTTGTCTGAGATATTTGAGCACCCCAGGCTCAATCCAGCTTCACAGCTATTGCATCTGCCTTCCTTTGCCTGGACCACTCTTTCCTGTGTCCACAGAGTCTGTCCTTGTGATTCCTTCCGGTCTTGCCTCCTATGTTACCAACTGGGACATACCACATTCCACAGAAGCATAGACTCCTATTCTGTTCTAGTCATTTCTATGGTCTCAGATTTTAAGGGTTTGTAACACATAAACAATGCTTCATCAATATGTAGTAAGTGCTTTGATCCTTACCCTACAACACATCTGCCTTGGTTTGTTTTGAGTTACTGTATCAGAGTAGCATAGACAAGGTCACTTATAAACAAATAGGCTGATTGTGACAGTTCTGGGGGCAGAGATGTCTTCAGAATTCAAGGGCAGCCAGTGATGAGGGCCTTCTTACTGTCTGAGACACAAGCGTTATGTGGAGAGACAGCAGGAGCATGCCGGCTCTGCAGCCGCTTCCTCCTTTGTGAAGTTATCCACCCTATGTGAGCGATCCACTCTCATGACTTCATCTAACCCCATTTAGACATCAAGGCCCCCCATAGCATGAGCATATGGATATGAAGGTAACATTTCTGACACAGAAACTCGAGGGATAGGTGCATACCACAGCACCACCCTCCTCCAAAATGTTCTCCCAAGTCTTCCCTTATCTCAATAAGCAGCTCAAGATGAAACATGCTCAGCTAAAGACTAAATGTACTAAATCATACTTAACTCTTCTCCATTCCCCTTACAACCTTACCCACTTCTTTCCACCTGCACCAATGCCACGTGATCCTGTGCCTTCGGATATGGCTCACAGGTCAATTGCTGCTCAAGTGTTTGATGACCTAGATGATGCTCCTGTTCTTCCTCTGGAAGTACACCTGATGTACAACCATCCTTCTTTAATACTCTCTACAAGCCCTGGCCTAGAAACCCGCTGCTCCTCCTCCCACGTCCCTCCCCTTACTGCCTCTGGCAGTACCTCCCCTTGGAGGCATAGGCTTCCTTGAAGGGCTGATAATCCCGAGCTGTGGAGCTTCAACTCAATGTCACCTCAGAGAGGTCACCTGCACCGTGCTACCCTCCTCCAGTATCATCTTGTATTCAGCCTACATCCTATTTACTCCTTGTCCGCTTTCACTGGACTCCCTCTCTGCACGGGTGTGAGTTCCACAAGTGGAGGCCTGTAATTGTGCTCAGAACAGAAATCTCAGAGCAGTGTGGCTCCTGACATGTGTTACGTGAAGATGGTTCATTTCAAACTAAAAATTAAAAACTGACCACTAGATGGCACTGTCACTCCAAATGTGCATGCTTTCAGTTAATGAGGCGCTAGAAGTGGAGTTCTGGAAGCTAACCCCTTCAATTTACAGAAAAGAGGTGCTACATTTAAGACAATGAACTTTTTCTAATAAGTGACGTTTCGTTAGAACCACTGTGGTCTTTATGATCATCACAAGCTTTTTACTTCTGTATCATGTGCCTGGCTTGTGGTGGGTCCTTTGTGTAGAGAAAGGCATAAAGGCACTTTAAGTTCCAGGTGCTCGTGGACTAGTGAGAAGACAGGACCAAATGTATGTATATGTGTGTGTTTGTATCTATACGTAAATACATCTCCAAATATATGTGGAAAAAGAACAAAAAATAGAAGTATGTCAAATAAAATAGGGAAAATATGTGCTATAAAAGAATGAAGTGTGATGGGTAGGAGCAGGTCAGAGCTTGGGTCCGACCCCACAGTACTAGACATGGGTTTCAAACAGAGACTGGCAAATGTGAAGGTAAGTACAAGAGAGCTGCCAGGGCTGGACAGAAGGTGGTCCTGTACCGGTACTACATTCATTCACTCAATCCCTCTTCTGTTGTCTGACAACGCCAAATCTCCACGGTGGGTGGACCCTGCCCTCACTGGGGTGGGACTGCATATCTTGGTGCCCTAAAAGATAACTCAGGCACACCTTGCCTCATCCTAGATTCCTTTGTTTTCTGGAATCACTGTGACAAAATGCCTAAATAATCAACTCAAGAGAGAGAGAGAGAAAGATATTCTTTGTCTCCAAGTCCCAGTCCATGCTTGACTAATCTCTATAGCAACGTAGTTACAGAGCTCTGCTCTCCTGGCCTTGTACTGAGGCCATGACAGACACACTGGAGGGGAAGCATACTTCACAGAAGCTGTGATGCAGAGAAAGGAGTGGTTGGGGCCCAAATATCCTCTCAAAACCTCAGTAACCTACCTTCCCAACTGGTCCCTATGCTGACAACTATGTCTTCTTAACTGCTGGACTTTGGTGGGACATTTAAGGCCCAACATAGTAACAATCGTTTAATCTTTATGCATTTCCAGTGTTTGGGCTAATATGTATAATGAGGTAGACTGAAATGCACACTTATTTAATAAATAACTAAGTTCATGAATGCATGGTGTAGTGCTCGCTGCTGGCCAATTGCCCAGGGCCTGCGATACTTCCGCAAGGACGCACGTGCCCTCCCCTGTGATTGATGGCATGCCCAGTGAGTTAACACAGGAGGCCCCCCAA